AACAGAGTAAATAGACCACTTACAGAATGGGAGAAAATATTCCAAAACTATATATCTGACAAACGGCTAATATCCAGAATCTACAAGAAACTCAGACTTATCAAGAAGAAGAAAACAACCCAGTTAAAAAGTGGGCAGAAGACATGAACAGACATTTTTCAGAAGATATATAAATGGCCAACAAATATATGAAAAAATGCTCAACATCACTAATCACCATGGAAATTCAAATTAAAACCACAATGAGATACCACCCTACTCCTGTCAGAATGGCCATTATTAAAAAGTCAAAACACAATAGACGTTGGCAGTGATTTCATTGAAAAGGGAACGCTTATACACTTTTGGTGGGAACATAAATTAGTATAACCTCTATGGAAAACAGTAATCCCACTATTAGGTATCTATCCAAAGGAAAAGAAGTCATTATATCAAAAAGACATATGCACTTGTATGTTTATCGCAGCATAATTCATAATTGCAGTGATATGGGATCAACCTAAGTGTCCACCAGCTGATTTGTAGGTAAAGAAAATGTGTGTGTGTGTGTGCGTGTGTTTGTGTGGGTGTATGTGGGTGTGTGTGGGTGCGTGCGCGCGCACACATATGTGTATACTGTATCCCATGGAATACTATTCAGCCGTCAAAGAGAATAAAATAATGCCTTTTACAGCAACTTGGATGGAACTGGAAGCCATAATCCTAAGTGAAGTATCTCAGGAACAGCAAAAGATACTGCATGTACTCACTTATAAGTGGTAACTAAACGATGGGTATACATGATCACACAGAGTATTATAATGGACTTTGGAGACTCAGACAAGGTGAGGGTGAGAGGCAGCTTAGGTATAAAAAATTACCTTTTGGATACAGTGTATATTATTTGCATGACAGGTACACTAAAAGCCCTAACTTCTCTGTTATACAGTTTATCTGTATACAAAAAACCCACTTGCACTCCCTAAAACTATTGAAATAAAATAACGTAGATTTTTAAAAAATTCTTGGCTAACAGTTTTTTTCTTTCAGCACTTTCTAAATGCTATCCCATTCTTTTCTGGCTTGTACGGTTTCTGTTGAGAATTCTGCTGTTTGTCTGATGGGGTTTTCTTTATAGGTGAGTAGAGGCTTTTCTGCTTGCTATTTTTAAAATTCTTTCTTTCACTTTGATGTTAAACATCCTGAATATAATATGCTGCGGTGAAGTCCTTTTTGCAATGTATTTGTGTGGGAATCTCTGGGACTCCTGTATCTGGATGTCTAACTCTCTTGCTAGACATGGGAAATTTTCACGATTATTTCCTTAAACAATTTTTAATCTCTCTTTTCATTGGGAATACTGATAATTCATGAATTTGGTCACTTTAGGTAATCTCAGTCCCAAATGTCTTGAAGACTTTGTTCATTCTTTTTAATTCTTTTTCTTTATTTTTGTCTGTCTGGATTATTTCAATGGACCTTTCTTCAAGTTATGAGATTAATTCTTCTGCTTAGTCCAGTCTATTCTTGAAGCTTTTGAATGTATTTTGTATTTCCTTTAGTGAGTTTTTCAGTTCCAAAGTTTTTTTTTAAGACATCTGTCTCCTTGGTAAATTTCTCATTCATATTCTGAAATGATTTTCTGATCTCTTTGTATTGGTTTTCAGATTTCTCTTGAATCTCACTGAGCTTTTTTAAAGTGAATATTTTAAATTCTTCATCTGGAATTTCAAGTTCTTTTTGATTGGGATCTGCTTTGGGAAAAACATTCCTCAAACCATGCTTTCCTCTAAACTCTACAACAATCAAATCAACACAGAAGAAGACTTCTGTGACCAAATGTGGAGTTTTCCCCCACACACCAAGCAATGGACAATAGCTGGGTGTCCTCTAATTCAATTCTGACACTATCACCTGGAAATAGGTCAGATCGCACAGGGTAGGGGCTCAGTCCCCAGCCTCCTCCACCCCCAGACAGCACTTGCAAGTCCTGGCCTCCAGAACTTCTGACTGACCGGCTTCAAGTTGTGTTTCCCACAATCCTCTCCCTCTTTGGGTTCGATTAATTAGCCAGAGTGGCTCACAGAACTTGAAAACACATTTACTGATTTATTATAATGGATATTACAAAGGATACAGATGAAGAGATGCATAGGATGAGGTATGGAGGAAGGGGCATGGGGTTTCTATGCCCTCCCTGGGCACACCACCTTCCAGGAATCTCCTCATGTTCAGCTACCCATAAGCTCTTTGAACCTAGTCCTCTTGGTTTTTTATGGACGCTTCATTACATGATTGACAACCATGTAGAAATGTGATTGGACAAAAAGCACATGATCTGAACCCAGCAAGACCTGTCCAGATTCTTTCTGGCCTCTCTGTGTAACATTCCTTCTTCCAGGGTATGGAGCAGGACCCTCTCTCAAATAAGGGTCTTTTGAGTCCTGCCTTGGGCAGGTGAAAGAATGACAGGAGAAGGTCAGAGAAAGATTCTATCCCTGAGGCCTGTTCTTGAGGTCTAAAGTGCCACGACATTATAACAAGGAATATGGGAGTTATGAAACGCTGTAAGAACTGTGGATGAAAACCTATATATACATCATAACCCCACAGGATCTGTTGGACAATTATTGTGATCCTTTGGTAGAGTCATATTTCCTTGCTTTTTCATGTTTTCTTTGTCCTTCCATTTATATCCATTTATAGCCACTTCTTCTGAGTTTTTTGAAATTGCTTTCATAGGAGAGAATTTTTCTGAAGATGTATATATGTTATTGGTTGAGTAGACATTTGGCTTTGGTTTTGCAGGTCCACTGTAGCGAGATCTTTATATGATTTCTTCAACAGTATACAGGGTCAGTGGTATCTGTGACTTCCTTGGTGGTGTAGGGTACAGTTATTAATTGAGGTTATGGTCAAGATTTACTGGGGACTTGGATGCCAGCTGAGCCAGTCTTTGGGCCATGGTGATGGCAGCAGTTGCCTGAGTGTGTCTGTTTTTAGGCCCCAAAGCAGCTTAGCCTGGTACCACTGTTAGTGGGTCTTGAGGGCCAATTCTCAGGCCTCCAGGTGGCTTGCTCAGAAATTAGTAGTGGGAGCAGTGGGCCAGGTTTGTGGGTAGATCATCAGGGCCCTTGGCAGCATGTGTGATGTGAGTGATGGCGGTAGTGGTGGTAGGGCAACCTCCGGAGAGTCAAAGGGTCCACAGAGTTGCTGGTAGCTATGATGGGTTGAGTAGGCTAGTCTCCAGTTCCATGGCTGCCTGTAGCAGGGAAGTGGGTATGGTCCTGAGTGTGCTTAGTAGAACTTGGTCTTCCCTGTCCTTCCCTAGCCAAAGTGGCTGCCGCAGCTTCGTTGCCTCAAAGTTGGCTGGAGGGCAGGGCGCAGCCTAACGTTAAACTCTCAAAGTGGCACCATCTGTGGGCCTGTGACCAGAGTGGAGAGGCCCTGATCAGGCAAGCAACATGGGCAGGAAGTGGAAAGTGCAGTCTACCTGTTACTTGTTCTCATGGCATCCCGTTGCATGTCAGTGGGTATTGTCCTAGATATGCGTGAGAGAGCCTGCTTTCTGGTGTCTTTCCTTGACTGAATGGCAGCTGCTACAGCACCAGCCTGACCTTGGCCCAAGGGCCAGACACAACCTAGTGTTAGACTCTCAAAATGACACCTTGGGCCTGCTGTCAGAGAGGGTGGAGCCTCTTTCAGGCAAGCAGGATGTGCAAGAAGCTGTGGAGAGTCTTTTGTCTAATAGCAGCTGACTGCTGGGTGGTGGGTATTATCCTAGGTGTGTCTGGGAGAGCCTGGTTTCCCTGTCCCTCTTCGGCCAGGTGGCAGCTATAGCTTTTGGCCCAAACTTGGCCTGAACTCAGCTCAAGGGCAGGGCACAGCACAGTGTCCAGCATTAAACTCTCAAAATGGCACCTTGGGCCTGCCATCAGAGAGGATGAGGCCCCTTCCGGGCAAGCAGTGTGGGCAGGAAGCTGTGTGGAGTACAAATTGCTCATGTCTCAGACAGTCTCAACAGCAGCCTGCAGCAGGGTAATGGGGACCTTCCTAGGGTTGTATGGGAACCCCTGTCCCCTGTCTCCTCAGAGTAGTGCAGCAGTAGCAGCCATGTCTGTAGACCCTGCGAGGCTCTTAAAATGGTGCCCAGCTGCAGGTGCTGTAGGCTTGGATACCTATGGGATTTTGCATGGGTTCCCTTTCTGGAACAGCATCTCTGTGCAATCTCTAGGCAGCATCCCTATGTTAGGCCCAAGGCCTGCATGAGTCAAAATACTCTGTCATAGCCAAGATTGTAGAAGCCCGTTTTGGAGTGTGGAGCCCTGGGGTTTCTCACTTACTGTTTCCCCATGTCCAGGAGCTTCTCCTGGCTCTCACCCAGTCCCCAGCCAGGCAAACTGCCTTGAACCCTCTCCTTACTTTTGGTTCTTCCCATCACTCCTCTGATGAATCTAGGCTTTCTCTCCTAGATGATCTGTTCAAAATGTATCTACTTACTATTATAGTTCTTCTTTGTGGAGGAGGCATATGCTACCTGTGTTTAGTCAGCTGTCTTGATCCTATCGCTTTAATATTTTTTTTAGATTCTTTCATATGTCTCATTTCCATTATAATTCATATAGCCATATTTTATATATTGGAATCTTTATTCCATTTGCTCTTTTGTAACCAGCTTTTTTCATCCCAGAATAAGCCATGGCAATAAATTTAAACCTAGGTTAATCATTTTTCATAGTTGTTTATATACTATAAATTTATTTAACCATTTAAGGAGACTATCTTGGTATAGGTTAATCTTCTTAAACTAGATGTCCTATTGCTGGACAAAAGGAAATACATATTTAAAATTTCAAATATATATTGCCAGATTGTATTACATATGGTTTTAAAATGAAGATTTTTTGTTGGAAAACTCCTCTTTTCTCTTTTTTTTAATATAATTTCTAGAAAATTATGGTAATTGATTTCAGACATCTAAAAATACTGTGCCTTTATATTTTCCATCATTTTATCTTTAGCTTTTGCCTGTGATGACAGAGCAGCTACAGTGGATGCCATTTGTGAATGCCAAACTTCACGAGCCCTTTGTAAAATTTATATATTGGTCACTAAGGCAGCTAGATGCTGGAACACAGGTAATTGATTAATAAGAATCTATCTTCAAGTAATATTCTATTTAATATTATTTCTCTCGATTTTGTTCTTTCACAATGTTTTTTTTGCATGTGTTCTCTTTATGTTTTGGAATAATCTTCTCTACCTGTAAGATATCTTGCTGGGATTGTGATAGAGATTGCATTAAACCTGTGTATCAATTTGCGAAGAATTGACATCTTTACTGTGTGAGTCTCCCAATTCATGAACAAAAAATGTCTCTTCATTTATTAAAACTTGGATTTCTTTCATCAGTGTTGTATAGTTCTCAGCATAAAATTCCTGCGCTTTCTTTTTTTAGATTTTCAGCTGAGTATTTGAGTTTTTTGAATGGTTTTAATTGGTATTATCTTTTTAATTTTGATGTTCATGTGATCATTGATACTATATACAAATGTAATTGATTTTTCAGTTTATTTTGTATCCTGTGACCTTGACCTAATTAACTTCAGGAGTTTTCTTGAAGATTCCTTTGGATTTTCTACAGACTATCAGTGTTATATGCAAATAGGGACTTTTTTTGTTTTCTATATATATGCCTTTAATTTCCTTTTCCCTTCTTTTCAATAGCTAGAATTTCTACCAGAATGTTGAGTTTGAGTGGTGAGAGCACACATCCTTCCCTTGTTCCCCATCTTAGGGGGAAATATTCAATCTGTCACCATTAAGTATAATATTAGTTGTAGTATTTTTATAGATGCTTTTTTATCAAGTTTAGTTAGTGTTCCCCCTTTTTACTGTTTTTCTGGGGTTTTTATCATGAATGAGTATTGAATTTTTTCAAATGCTTTTTCTGCATTGGTTGATAAGATCATGTGATTTTTTTTTTCATCTTTACCTTGTTAATATGGTAGATTACATTCTCTTTCAAATATTGAATCAGCCATGTATCCCCAAAAGAAAGCCACTTGGTTGTGGTGTTTAATTCTTTTTATATATTGTGGAATTCTGTTTGCCAATATTTTGTTAAGGAATTTTGCATCTCTATTAATGAGAGATATTGGTCTATAGTTTTATTTGTTTTAAACTAACTGTCTAATTTTGTAGGAGGGTAAGCTAGGTTCATAAAATGAATTGGAAAGTATTCCATCCTTTTTATTTAGGGAAGAAATTATATAGAGTTAGTGTTTCTTCTTCTTTAAACATCTGGTAGAATTCTCCAGTGAAACTGCCCAGACCTGCGTAGATTTCTTTTGGGGGAGGTTTTAAATTATGAATTCAAGTTCCTTAATAGCTATAGAGCTCTTCTAATTAAGAATACATATTAGTGATTTCTAATAGTTGGTGCTTTTTGAGTAATTGAACCATTTTGTCTAGTCAAATTTATGTGTATAGAGTATTTCATAGTATTCTCTTATTATCGTTTTGGTATCTTCATTATCTGTAGTGATAGCCCTGTTTCATTTCTGATAAGGGTAATTTGTGTCTTCTTTCTTTACTTTGTCATTTCTGCTAGAAATTTATCTATTTTATTGATCTTTCAAAGGATCATGTCTTTGTTGCATTGATTTTGTTCTAGTTTTCTGTTTTCAATTTCATTGATTTCTTTATTATTTCCTTACTTCTGCTTGCTTTGGATTTATTTTCCTCTCCCTTTTCTAGGTTACTGAAGTAAAAACTTAGATTATTGACTTGAGACTTTTCTCCTTTTTTCATATGTACATTTAGTGTTATTTTTCTTGTCAGCCCTGCTTTAAGCATGTTTCACAAATTTTGATATGTTGCATTTTCATTTACATTCAATTTCATGCATTTTTTAATTTCCATTGATACTTCCTCTTTGATCCATGAATTATTTAGTAGTTTGTTGTAAGTCATTTTGTTATCTTTCCGTTTTTCTGGTTTAGTTATATTGTTGAGGTTGTTTTATGGTTGAGGATATGTATTCTGTTGTTGGGTGGTTTGTTGCATAAATGTCAGTTTGATCCTATTGGTTTATGGTGTTTGTGAGTTGTTTTATATCCTTGCTAATATTTTATCTAATTGTCCTATTAATTGTTGAGAAATGGCTATTGAATTCTCCAGCTATCATTATAGATTTAATATGTTTCTCCTATTAGTTTCATCTGTTTTTGCCCTACATATGTTGTTACTATGTTGCTTGGTGCATATACATTTAGGATTGTTATATTTTCTTGGTGGATTGGCCCTTTTACCATTTTATAATGTCCTTCTATGTCTTGGATGGTTTTCTTTGCCTCTGAAGTCACTTTATCTGATATTAATATAGCCACTCTGCTTTCCTTTAATTCATGTTATCATGATATATCTTTTTCCATTCTTTTGCTTTGACATAGTTATATCATTACATTTGAAATGAGTTTTTTTTATAGGCAGCACGTAGCTGGGTTCTTTGGGATTTTTTTTATTGTTTACTTGCTTTTTTTTTTTTTTTTTTTAAGAGATTGGGGGGATGTCTCACTATGTTGCTCAGGCTGGCTTCAAACTCCTGGACTCAAGTGATCCTCCTGTTTCAGCCTCCTGAGTAGCTAGGAGTACAGATGTGTACTATAAGTAGAAATTTGAAATATTTTTTCTGTTATCTTTTTCACACAAAGGTTTTAAAACACACATGTATTATTTTTTAAAATCTTGACACTATATATATATATATGCATATATATACACACACACATATATGTGTACATACACTTTGTTTTATTTTTAAAGAGATAGTGTCTTAATCTGTCACCTAGGCTGGAGTGCCCTGGCATGATCTTAGGTCAATATAACCTCAGAATCCTGGGCTCAAGGGATCCTCTTGCCTCAGCCTTCCCAATAGCTAGGACTACTGGCATGTGCCACCGCACCCAGCTAATTTTTTAAATTATTTTTTTGGTGGAGTCAGGGCCTTGCTGTGTTTCCCAGGCTGGTCTCAAATTCCTGGCCTCAAGCAATCATCCCATCTTGGCCTCCCAAAGTGCTAGGATTACAGGTGTGAGCCAACATGCCCAGCCAACAGTAAGTTAGGTTGCACTACTTGTGCCTCTCACCACCCAATCATTTGGCTTTTGATATCCACAAAATCTCAGTATATTTGTTTCTGATTTTAGATCCTGAAATTCAAAAGCTGAAACTTGTTATCCACATTGCAACATAAATACTGAATTGGGAACCAGTTGGTCACAAATTCCCATGCTACAAAACTCAATGACAGAAGAGTCTGGTTTAAGCACACTCGTCTGCAACAGTTTGAAATGGTTTCCTTTCATTTGATTCTTAATGGATATGTGGAATGCCATTAGATTATATGTTATGTGGAATGCCATTAGATTATATGTTATTTTAGGGGTAGTTCTATGCTATTATTTCTGTTTTGTCCATTTTCTTGTTTTAGTTTATTCTCTGTGAGAATTATCCATGATTCTAACCCCAGCATTTTATTCTTTTGAAATTAATAGTTTTTAGAATCACTGTGTCATTTATGGTCAGAGTCAGCTGAAGGCAGTGAGGTTCTAGATGGTCATTTCCATATGTAAACACACTTAAGATGTACTGATAAGCCAGTTGTCAGTGATGGTGGAGAAATGAGGACCTGAGAGAATAGGTAGTTCATCTACTGTGGTCATATTTCTCTGTGCCAGAAATATAGCGTGATCTTATGTTCTTACATGTTTCAGAAAAATATAAAGTCATAGGTAAATAATTTCTTTAAAGTTGATTATAAAATTGTCACTTTTGGCTGGGCGCGGTGGCTCACGCCTGTAATCCTAGCACTCTGGGAGGCCGAGGCGGGCGGATTGTTTGAGCTCAGGAGTTCGAGACCAGCCTGAGCAAGAGCGAGACCCCGTCTTTACTAAAAATAGAAAGAAATTAGCTGGACAATTAAAATATATATATAAAAAAAAATTAGCCGGGCATGGTGGCACATGCCTGTAGTCCCAGCTTCTCGGGAGGCCAAGGCAGAAGGATCGCTTGAGCCCAGGAGTTTGAGGTTGCTGTGAGCTAGGCTGACGCCACAGCACTCTAGCCCGGGCAACAGAGTGAGACTCTGTCTCAAAAAAAAAAAAAAAAATGTCACTTTCCAATCTTGCATATATTCAACTTTTAATTAGCAAAAAAATTTACTTTTAGTTCCTATATTTGACTGTAGTACCTAAAATAGGTATTTTCTAAGCATGAATAAATATACAAAGATTGTATATATTTTTAACAGCATTCAACTATGACATCAACATTGAGGAGATTGGGTGAAGACATATTTAAAGGAGTAGTAACTAAAGGAAATCAGGATAATTTTTTAGAGCATTCTGTGGAGAATAAACCAAAGACAACTGCTTTCTTTAAGAGCTCCAATTTGCCACTGAGATTTTTATCAACATTAATTGTTCTCAAAACAGTCACTCAAGGTAAGCTTTCACATGTGCTTATGGTATAAATTTGGTAAACAGCTAGGAGAGAATTTTATATAATAAAGCTATTCTTTTGTAGTCACATATATTCTACATTTTTGGAATGAGATTTTGAGTTTTATAATGGCACATTGTAAAAAACTACTTTTATTTCCTGAATTTGAGAAATAGTTTTTAGTTGAATTATTGCCTCCTTCCTAGAAAGCCTGATTGATTCTCTTAGGTCATGTTTCCATAACACCCTTTGCTTACCACTATTGTTCTATTTGCCACATAAGATTCAAATTGCTGGTTTATTATTTACCACTAGTGAATGGCTTGGAAAACTGTAGTTCATGGGCAATCTTGCCCACCACTTATTTTCTAAATAATTTGTTAGGTATTGTCTATGACTCTTTTTGCCCTACAGTGACAGAGTTGAGTAGTTGGCAACAGAGACTGAGTGGCCTCCAAAACCTATATTATTATTTGGACCTTTACAGAAAAATTTATCAGTCCCTGCCCTAGTTTGTAAGTTTACTGAGGAGGAAACATGTCCTGTTTACCATTGTGTCTCCCTGCACCTAGCATGGTGCTTGGTGAATAAGGAAATGAATGAATTAAAAATAATCGTTCAGTCAAAGTTGGCCATACTTAATATGTAGCTATAACTAGTTATCTTTTTAGATTATTAAATATTATACTTTTTGTTAGTGAATTATGCTAATGCAGTCAATAAATATACCATCTTTTTATCTTTTTTGTTACATGACTCAGACTGGCTGTTTTTTTAAGTGAGCAATGACAGTAATTTAATTTGGCTTCTTTCTCTGAAGTATGTTTTATTTAGTCATTCCTGATGGTATGGACTTGATGAAAAAACAGAAAGCTGTATAACTTTGTCTTCGTAGTTATTTTTGCCTCCGTATGGTTATAGTTCTCAAAATTATAATGGACTGGGCAGTAAGTGTTTGAAAGCCCACTTATGAGAAGAGAATATTAGCCCAAAATAAAGTTCACCACAGACTTATCTCAGAAACTTAACACGCACACACACACACACACACACACAGAGATAAATAGACTCTAAATAGAGTTTTAGCTGGCAAACCATAGCCACACATTAAAAAGTATACATATTCACCAGAGATCGAGTAAGGTTAATATCAGAAATTCAAAGCCACTTTAACACAAGAAAAATTATTAGTCATTAATTATTTAAGAAAAATATTTAAAATCATATATCAACATATAACATCATTTGATAACATATATTGTTCAGTCCTGTGATAAAACTCTGAAAAAGGGAGGAATGCAATAAAGGATGTTTATTTGAAAAGAGAAAATAAAATAGATGGGAATTGACTGCTCCCTGTCACCGTTTCTGTGCAATACAGTATTGGACCTGCCAGCCATTTGTAATGAGCCATGAAAAAATAAAGTATGAATATTGGAAAGGAATAAGGAAAACTATTAATTTGTGGATACTCCATATAAATTGAAAGTATTTAAAGATATGTAGCAGGGCATAAAGATATGGATAAAAAAGGGATGAATAAATAGGTTGATAAAGATTGATGCTGAAGTTAAATGTCAGAAATAAAGGACTTTTATTCTTCTTACCTGCAAAGACCAAGTGTATTAAAAATTATAAGGTGTCCCACATGGCTTACTGTAACACCAGTTAAAATTCCAGTGTAGTTTTTGTGTCAATTGAGGAAGTGATAGTGAAGTTTATGTGGAAAAATAATTTCCAACAAATGTAACAATGTAAAACAAAACAGCAACACTGGGTCAGAGGCTTACCTTAGCAGACTTTAACACAATCATAATATGTAATAATAAAAAATGAGTAATAATTGATTTAATACATCAAAACAGTACAATTGGAATAGGAAGTCCAGAAATGTCTTAAAATTGGTACTTCATATTATTTATTGAATTAATGAATTTGATTGCTTCCCTGCACAAGTGATTTTTTTAAGAACATAGAATCATATCCAACATGATATGGATGATAGAATTAGTAGACAAGGACTTTAAAGCAGTTATTATAACTATATTCCATACGTTTAAGAAAATAGAGGAAAGCATGAGCCTGGTAAGTAGACATGTGGAAGATAAGGGGAAAAAAAAGATATCAGTCACATTTCTAGAGATGACAGTCACAATGCCTGGGATTAAAAATACACTAGAGAGAATTAGACATTGCAGACAAAAGACTAGTGAACTAGAATACGTAGCAATCAATAGAAACTGTCCAAAATGAATTGCACAGAGAAAAAAAACTGTGAAAAACAAAATATATATATGTCCTTAGAGTCCATGAAGAGGGAAGACAAAAAATATTTCAGAAATAATGGCCCCAAATTCTCCAAATGCTGTGAAAACTATAAACACAAACATAAGGAGCATGTCCAACTTGAGCTCCTGGTCACTCCTGTTCTTCTCCTTTCTTCCTTGGTCTTCTCTAGACATCTCAGTGTCACCTCTCTTCTCCATACCCTGTTGACCTCTGGTCACTGGAATTCAAGAATGTTGCCTAAATCCAGCTCTCCTGTTCACTTCCTCTCTCTGACCTTTCAGTGGCCTCATCACCTCTCCCTTGACCACAGACAAGTCATAACATATCTCCCTGACTTCATTCTCTGCCCTGCTAATTTCTCTTCATACTTGCTGTCAGCGATTCTCTCTCATAAGGCTCCTGCCTAGCAGATACCTTTTGCTGCATGCTCCTCAGCCTGGTGGCCTCAAAAAGGACCTGAGACTAATCACTGTGGAACAAGGAAGCGATATTAGAGTTCTCCTTTTTCTCATGGACTAGGCACGCCCAGCCTAGGCACAAGGGTCTCTTTTAAGCCAAAACCTGGTAGGTTCTACTATTATTCATCTACCACTTAGGGCTAAGGCACGAGCTGCTACTGTCAAGAAAGAAGCCCAGGCCGGGCGTGGTGGCTCACACCTGTAATCCTAGCACTCTGGGAGGCCGAGGCAGGAGGATCGCTTGAGCTCAGGAGCTCAAGACCAACCTGAGCAAGAATAAGATCCCATCTCTACTAAAAAAAAAATAGAAAAAATTAGCTGGGTGTGGTGGTACACACCTGTAGTCCCAGCTACTCAGGAGGCTGAGGGAGGAGGATCCCCTGAGCCCAGGAGTTTGAGATTGCAGTGAGCTAGGCTGACAGCACTGCACTCTACCCAGGGTGGCAAAGCAAGACTCTGTCTCAGAAAAAAAAAAAAATGAAAAGAAAGAAACCCAGATGCTGAGGGATCCAAGGGAAAAGAGCACTCCCCAACTGCTTGTCCTCTCTCCAGAGCTGCACGCAGGTAGGATGTGAGTCCTGGAGCTGTGAGAGGTTGCAAGTGAATACAGGTATAAAAGGAGCCTTGGTCTCAGTCATATCCCAGCATATGCCAGCACCTGGGAAGAAACATCAGAGCCAAATGGCCCTCAGAAGCTCTGTCGGACATTGTCCTGGTACAGGTGGTGAGAGCCAGGCCCAGAAAAGGAAGTGTCCTCTGTCAGACTCAGGGCTGCTAGTCCCATGTTTCCTGACAGATGAGGACCAGCACATTCACAGCCCTCACCCTAGGCGATTGTCTAGGTCCCTGAGGCAAGTTATGGAGGAATGGGGGGCCTGTTAAGAGACCCAGCAATGAGGAGTCCTGCTCTTAACAGTCTAATCTAATGCAGTTAACCTTAACACCCTCTTGGATGCTGAACACTAGAAAAAGCCTAATGGTATATATACACCAGGGTTTCTCAACCTCAGCACTATTGGCATTGAAGATTGTTTAGCAGCATCCTTGCCCTCTACCAACTAGATGCCAGCAGCACTCTCCCACTTGAAACAACCCAAATGTTTCCAGACATTATGATATGTCTCCTGGGGAACAAAACTGCCCCTATTTGAGACCACTGCTATACACCATTTAATCCTCACAGTAACAACAGACATTTCTATCCCAAGTTGCAAATGAAAAAACTGAGACTCAGAAAGGTTTCATTGGCTTGCCCAAGGTCACTAAGCAACTTGCAGAGCTCATATTTGAAATTGGGGCTTTTTGATTCAAAGTTTAGGGCGTTTTCCACTATATAACTCCATTTCCTGACTCAAGGATCAGCATTAAGTTGCTGCCTACCTCAGTCTCCTCCAAATGTAACCAAAAGGAAAATGTTTGAATTTGATTGGTAGAATAGAAGTGGATTGCATCTCTCCCTAAGTGGACTGTGGCCTTCAGAGGCCAAAGGTAGGACTTACCACATGGTACATCAAGCTCATGGGGCAGGCCATCCTTGTAGGAGCTATTGTCAGCACAACACCAACATTGCCAGGGTTCTAGGATGGCTGCCTGAGGAGCCCCTGGGATGTCATCCCCCCAGGCCTGCAACCACTAGGCAGTTGTTTGTCTTGCCCTTGTTGCCCCATAGCAAGCTCCTGGAACCTGTCCATCTTTATACCTACAGGGCATTGAGATGGAGCAGGCTGTACCTCTGGACAGCCCTCCCCCAAACCCCGAGTTGATCCTTTCCCACATCTGGCTGCCTGACTCATAGGGTGAGGCAAAAGAAGAACAATTTAATGGCTGTCGGCCTGTCTCCCCCAGTGTCAGGTTCACAAAGGGAAAAGAGCAAGGCTTGGTCTCTTGGTACAAATTCTTACAAATTCTGAGCAAGTGGTTTCATTTTAAAGCATTAATTTATTACCGTATAGTACAAAAATAATATTTCACATGGAAATAAGATGAGATATTGGTGGCTAAATGCCTGGCACAGTGTCTATTACATTTAATGTGTTCAATGAATTATTTGTTTAATAAAATTCTGAAACAACATGAGTAGGAGAAAAGTTTTGCTTGGCTTCCAGGTGTTTTAACTTACATGTAGGTTGGGTAGATAAATATATTAACATACATTTAATACATTTAAGTATTTTAAAACTTGTTTAAAAATAATATGTTCAAATACATATGAATTTAGATGCACATGGCAAGTCACTCTCCCACGTTTGAAGCAG